TGTTATTAGCAGTATTTTTACTATGTGCTAGGGCTGAACATAGACAGGTGGCTTTTATAAGGGGTCTGCCCTCAAGGAGCTGGCCATCTGAATAGGAGCAGAAGCAAGGGCATTGCTCGGTGTAACTGGAACAGTAATAAGTTACCAGCTGCAGGAGGCCCAAAGCAAAACCAGATATGGGGCTGGATGAGGGAAGATGATGCCCGGGTCGGGTTTTGAAAGAAGAACAGAAGTTCTGGGGCTGGACGCAAACACACATCCCACAGGAGGAAGAATGCCGTGCCAAGGTCTGGCCAGGCTGAAACATGGGCTGGAAGAACACGGGGCTGGCGTAGCCAGGAGCAGATCCAGAGAAGACTTTCTTCTGTAGGTGACAGGGAACCAGTGAGGATTTTTAAGTACCATATTTATTGTAGTGTTTTCCCTTCATTGGAAAGTAAAACATGTCCACTGGGGCAGCCAGCTGGCGCCTGGTGGAGCACGTGACTGTTGATTTCCGGGTTTGTGAGTTCAAGCTCCATGTTGGACATAGAGCTTACTTAAAAAATTAAAAACATTTTTTAATTAAAAAAAAGTGGGCACTTGGGTGACGAAGTTGGTTAAGCACTCCATCTCCTTTTTTAATTAATTTTTTTAATTTTTAAAAAAATTTTATTAATTTTTTTAATTTTTAAAATTTTATTTTTGAGAGAAAGTATGAACAGGAGGGGGCAGAGAGAGACAGAGAAAGGGAGACATAGAATCCGAAGCAGGATCCATACTCCGAGCTGTCAGCACAGAGCCAGACATGGGGTTTGAACCCACAAACCGTGAGATCATGACCTGACCCGAAGTCGGATGCTTATTCAACTGAGCCACCCAGGTGCACCAAACATTCTCTCCTGATCTCAGCTTAGGTCTTGATCTCAGGGTCATGAGTTTAAGCCCCACAATGAGTGCGAAGCCTACTTTAAAAAAAAAGTGTTTTTAAGTGAAAAAAAAAAAGAAAAGTAAAATATGTTCACTTTGTAGAAATTCTTGGAAACTTGGAAAAAAGCAGAAAGATGCCAAAATGCTCTGTATTCCTATCTCCCAGGGGAAACAACGTTAACATTTTGGTAGAATTCTTTTTACCTACTAACCTTGAAGATTTTTTTTTTTTTTTTTCAAAATGAGCTTGAAGTATGTTCAGTGAGGAGTTTTAAGGAGGGAGAGCTGTGGTCAGAATTTGTCTGGAAGGATCCCTGGCACTGCGGCCATGTGGAGGACAAAGGGCGGGAGACCCACCAGGGACACCAGGGTTGGCAAGGTGGGACCGGGCGCGGTGGGGAGGCTGCAGACAGCGGGTGGGGTGGGCGGGATGTGCAGATGAGAAGCACGGCCTTTGTCTTGCTCCTGTAAGCTTGGCGAGGCTGCTGTGCCTTGCGCGCCAGCGGAGAAGGTCGGGAGCGGGTTCCCAAGAGTCAGCCTGTGCCTGGTGCACCGAGCATCTGCTTTGTGTGAGGCACCATCGGAGGGAGGGCGTAGCTGCTCTTTTTCCTCCCCGAGGCCCCACGTTAGAGGTGACACAGCCGGAGGAGATGAGGACAGTGTTAGACTCAGGGTGCAGAGCTGGAGGGACCCTCCCTTTGCGAGCGGCTCGGCACCAGTGTGGGCCCCAACAGAGCCAGCCCACCCACACGGTCGGTTTAAAAACGGGCAGTTTAAAATGCCCGGCAGGTGGTTCTAACATGTGGCACAGAGGAGGGCCCTTCACCCCGAGGATGCACGGTGAGCCAAGCTTAGAGCAGCCTCCGGGTGCAAAGGCCTCCCCACCTCTTCTGCACCCCCTTCACAGTGCAAGGCCGTTCCTCTCAGTGAGAGAGGCCTCACCCACACTCGTGGGGTTGTCCAAAGAGTCCTGGCTCGGCTCTTCCTCTGTCTTCTGACCCTTGGCTGGCAGCTCTGCCTCCCTGGCCTCAGTTTCCTCCTTTTTTATGGAGTTGATCCTATTGGTACTGCTGGCTTCCCAGGATTGTGAGGGTAGAAGGAAGACAGTCACATGGATCTGTTTGGAGAGGACTTAATTTGAAAGCACCATGAAACCCAAGCCGGGGTGCCCTTGTACATTCCGAAAGTTCGTCCACAGGCCTGCTCTGTGCTGAGCGCCGCTGGGCGCAGGGTGGTCGCAGCTGCTGAAATCCACCAGGTTAAACAGATGTGCTCTTCCTTTGCCTGGAAATGTTGGATCTCAGCCCAGACCCCACCTTCCCTCTGGCCTGGCCCTCGCTCCAGAGCACTGGACACGGGCTCTTCGGAATCCTTGTTTCTCAGGGGAGGACATGATAGATCAGCAAAGTCAGGACAGAAGCAGAACCCCGTTTCCTGAGACGACCCTAGTGCCTTTAGGAGGCCATTTGTCACAACTGCTAATAAGCCCACTTGAGTGCCATAAATAGACACCATTGCACTGAAAGGCATTATTCACACTTATCAACAAACACCTTGTTTTCAGCTTATAGATTGTATCAGCTCACAGCCAACCTCGGGGGCCCCTAAGTGTATCCCTGGGCTCTGCCCCTGTGCCGCCCACAGGACCCCGTCCCCCATCCCCGAGGGAGGCCTCGGGGCGATTCTCCTCACACCCCACTGGTCTCTGCTGTCCCTGGGGGTCGGGCGGGGGGGAGCTCTGTCTTTTCACTTACAGGGCCCCTCATAGGACCTCTCCTTGCCCCTTTTCTGCTCCTCTGCCCGGAGTCCTCGGTCTCGTTTTCTGCTATAACAGCTTTTATTAGTTGTGCGCTTTCTGGACACTGGGCACCGCACAGACACCATTTTTAACCTCTGAGTGGTCCCAGGAGATAGGTGCTGGGCTCCTAAAGGTCAAGGTGCTTGCCCACGGTGTGCCGGGAAGGGGAATACGGGGACTGTGTGACACTTGGGCCCTCTCTCTTCCTTAGCCCCCTCTCTGGCTGGCTGCTCCCACTCTCCCGGGAGCGAAGGCTGCTCAGACATGGGCAGGGGACAGGAATGGGCAGAGTGAAGGGTACAGAGAGAGAGAGAGACAGAGACAGAGGGGATGGACAAAGATGCACAGAAACACATGAAGGCAAGACAGACAGCACAGAGCTAGTACTGCCACCTTCCTGGGGAGGTCTGCTTGTCTCTCTGCCCTCCCCATCCCCCCCCCCCCCCCCCCCCCCCCCCCCCCCCCCCCCCCCCCCCCCCCCCCCCCCCCCCCCCCCCCCCCCCCCGCCAGCCCTGCCTCGCCTTCTCTGTCTGCTTGGAAGGCAGGAGGGCCAAGCCTGAGGGAGGGCCAAGTGTGAAAGCTGGGGGCTGCTCACAGAAGTGGGCTCTGTTAACCTCGTTTCTGGGTAAAAACCATCTGGCATTGGGTAAGCCGCCTCAAAGTATCCTTGTTTGCTGGGCATGCCCAGCATGCACTGTTACCTACCTGCGTGTGCATCTGTACACACGCACACAGATGGGATAAGCACACCAGCACATACACATGCTATACAATGTGCCCGTGAGTGTGCACGCGTGTGCAGAAGCACATACACAGGTATGCTTACCTGGGTGCAATGCCACCCTCCTGCTTGGCCCCAGCCCCTTCCTGGCCTTTGCCCAGGAGGCCGTGTGGGTGAGGGCCCTCGGCCCTGCCTGGTCCCCTGATGCTTGTCAGCTTCCAGGGGCCATGTCAGTGGCCCCAGAGCCCTGGGGCTTTCAAAGCACTTGTAGGTGCTTGCTGCCGCCCCCATGAAGCTGCCCTCTGGTGCAGGAGCCCCGTGCCCTCTCCTCCAGGCCTGCCAGGGGTCTGGACCCTGTGTACCCCCATCCCGCAGTGTGGCCTCTGACTTCCATCCCTGCACAGCTCTGATCCTTGGGTGGGTCAGACTCAGGATGAAGGGTGCGGCTGCACGTGCTTCTCATGCCCCCCCAGCCCCCTGGCTCCAGAGCCCCACCCAGACAGAGGAGGCCAGCACTGGCTCCTGGGCCCTGTGAGGCTCCAGTTCCAAGAGACCGTCTCCCTGCCTGCCTGACGGAGCCTCCCCCAGGAGCCCCTTGGGAGCTGCTTGCTGGCTTCAGCAGCTGCCTCTGTCCCGTAGGGGCTGGTGGGGAAACCGGAAGGAGTCAGGGATTCTGTGCCAGTGAGCGTGGGCTGGGTGGGAGCTGTTCTGCCTTGGCCACAGTAGGGCCCATGGGCCCGGGGAGGCCCTTGTGGCTGGGGCAGGGTGGGCGGCTCTGTCCATGTGCCTTCGGTCTGGGAGACTGCGTGCTGTGGCCAAAAGAGAGGTCTGTGCTGGGTGCAGGAGACCTGGGTTCTAACAATGGGACGCGGGGTGGGTCATGTCCTGTCTCTGGGCTGTCCGGCCTCTCCTGCAAAAAGAGGGGGCTCGGCCAGACGACCTCAGAGGAATTTTTCAGGATCCTGGAATCTGATAATTAGCAGCCGGACTGTGGCAACTGAAGAAAGCATGGCTATCAGGAGGGACCACGGCCCCCCTTTCTCTCAGCGCACCATCTAAACCCTATGGGAAAGTCAGAACTTGAGTGAAGATAGTCCCCGTGCAGTGGAAGAGAGGCCCTCCCTCTTGCCCCACTCACATGGTGGCTGGTGGCAGGGGAGGGGACTGCTAAGGGAAGGACCCTGGCAGAGAGAGAGAGTGGCATTTCTGGGACACTTAGGGGACAGGCTTGAGAATCACTGTTCCTGGGCACTATGGGTCCCTTAGACATCTGTCCTGATGGTCAAAGCCATGGGCTTCACCTCTAGTGCTCGTGAAGCCAGCCCTGGTGGGCCCAGGCCTTAAGCTCCCAGGAGTGAAGACATAAGAACACTGTCCTCCGATTGAAGGCCATAGGGCTTAGAGAAGGGTGTAGTAATCAAAGACCATTGCCCAGCACCCATGGTCACATGATGAGGCCTGGGGACCCTGGGACCACATGGTCTGAGGGTGGGCATCACACTAAAATCTCCATCTCTCCTTCTCTCCTGCTCATTTTCCCGTGATCTGCTGCTGCTGCTTCCTGATCCCCAGGAGGTAGAGGTAAGTACCCCTGGGGGGGGGGGCGGGAGAGGGGGGCACCGTGTGTGGTCTCTCTGCAGCCCCTCCTCCCACCCTCCTCTCCTCTCCTCTCCCTGCAGCACCCAGCATGGGATGGAGGAGTAAAGAATATATGGGAGAGATCAGAAGGGATTCTGGAAATGGGTTTGGGGGATAGAGTTCTGGGAGAGGCAGCTGGCAGGGCCTGGGTCTTGGCAGCCATGGGGGTGACAGCAATTAGCATGGGGCACAGTGTCCCAGCCCTCTTCCCTCTGGGCCCTGGAGTTGAGCCTCGCCTCTAGGATGTAAATCTTACCCTTCCCTCTCCCTTACCCCTCTGTCCTTCCTTAGGATGACTACATCAAGAGCTGGGAGGACAATCAGCAAGGAGATGAAGGTAACATGCCCCTCCCAGGTGAGGGAATATGACTGATACCTCTGGAGGTTTGAGACCAGAAGGCACATCCCGATCATGACCTTGGGGGTTCTGTGGCAGCCAGGCCCTGATGGGAGTGGGGCTTCTGAGCTGAGGGGCTCTGGTTATCAGGGCTACTGGAAAGAGGAGCTTCCCAGCTCAGAAGTGGGGCTGGGGGCTCCTGGGCTCTCCTGAATTGATTTCTAGGTGACCTGCATTCTGGCCCTGTCTCCCTGTAGCCCTAGACACCACCAAGGACCCCTGCCAGAAGGTCAAGTGCAGCCGTCACAAGGTGTGCATCGCCCAGGGCTACCAGCGGGCCATGTGCATCAGCCGCAAGAAGCTGGAGCATAGGTGAGGGGCTTGGGGAGGTGGGGGATCTGGAGGCATTGCTTAAATAGCAAGGGCCTGCCCGATTGTCCCCCCTGTGGTTGTTATCTATTGCTGCAAAACAAACTTCCCCAACACTTAGGGCTTAAGACAACAAGTAGTTTCTGAGGGTCAAGAATCTAGAAGTGGTTCTGTTAGGTGGCTCTGGCTCAGGGTCTGTCATGAGGTTACAATCAAGATGCTGGCTGGGGCTGCATCATCTGAAGGCTGGATTGGGGCTGGAGGACCTGCCTCCAAGCTCACTCATGTGGCTGTTGATTCTAGTCACATAGACCTCTCCATAAGGATGCTTGAGTGGCCTCACAGCATGGCAGCTGGCTTCCCCTAAGCGAGGCATCTAAAGGAGAGAGAGAACAGGGAGGAAGCCACAGTGTCACTTATGATCTAGTCTCAGGAATCATACATTGTTATTTCTCTTTATCAGGAGCAAGTCTCTAGGGGAAGTGAATTAGACTCCATTAGCTTCTGAGGCTTGCAGAGGAGGGGAAGGTATTGTTAGTTCTGTCCCAAGGACAAGACATGCCAGGATCCAAGTCCCCTTGAAAAGGTCCCACGCCCCTCCCCTTTCTCCAGGAATCCCGGTTTCTAGGTGAACTCTTCCATTTTGTCAATGTTGGTGAATAACTCAGACAAAAACCCTTCATGGCCAAACAAAGCAAGTCTATGGGCCAGATGTGGCCTGAAAGCCATCAGTTTGCAACCTCTGATCATGCAAGGGCCGACTCCTTTTCAAATCTCGCAGTCAGCCCTGGAGTTGCTGCCTTAAGGTCCTCCTGGACTCAGTGACCACAGGAGAGGGGAAGCCGGGGGTCTGTCCCCTGCCCGATTGGCTCCACCCTTACGAGCTGGAGGAGGGTCCAACTTGGAGGTGACGGAGAGGGTGGGCCGGGGCAGGGAGGGGGCTGCATGTGCTACAGACTGCCAGGGCCAACTTCTTGTTGGAACTGGTCTCTCAAAACTTCCCTATGCACGTCCCTCTCTCATTCTTGCTTCCACTCCTGTCTTCCTGTAGGATCAAGCAGCCTGCCCTGAAGCTCGCTGGAAACAAAGACACCATCTGCAAGCCCTGTCACATGACCCCACTCGCCTCCGTCTGCGGCTCTGATGGCCACACGTACAGCTCAGTGGTGAGGAGCCCAGGTCCCAGGTGTGGGGGCAGGGGGGGGGGGTTACACCTGAAGCCACAGGGAGCAGAGAGGACGACTCAACCAGGGCCTCCTGTGGGGCTCCCGGTGCTGAAACAGAGCCGGAAGTGCTGGGTCAGTACATTCAGCATGGCCGACCACAGAAGGCTCACCTGCGCCCTGGGCTGGGGCTGCCTGAGAGTCCCAGCCAGACCCTACCCCTGGCCTTAGGCCGATGCAGGTGGGCAGTGGGGCTTGGAGGACGTAGGTGGTCATGTAACTGCAAGTCAGAATAAGTGAAGTGAGATCCACAAGAAAGTACCCAGGGCTCTGGAACAAAGGAGATGTGTCATCCAGTTGTCGGGGGTGATGGGTGGATCTTCCCAAAGGCAGATTCCCACCTGGTGGGTAAACACCCACCTGGTGTTTACCAGCGAGCACCAGGCATTCTGGGGCAGGAGGAAACCGTGTGGGAGGGAGTGGGGGTAGAGGGGGAATGACTCCCTACCTTATGTGATTTTTATGTGGGTTAAATGAGACCTTTGTGAAAGCATCTTATAAACTTTAAAGGACCATAGAAATGCAGGTGCTAGTTGTGAATGCCTCTGCTAGGGGCCAGTTGCTTGGTTTTTGGAGGGCACTGTCAGCCAGGGTTGGTTTCTTGGGCTTAGGAACCCTTTTGGGGTGAGATGTAGATTTAAGAGTCACGTGCTGTGGTTGATGATTGAAGCTGGGGAGGGGTGAGGTCACCGGGAGAAGAGGAGGAAGGGAGCGAGAATAAGCCAGAAGCTGAGGGCGGAAGGTGCACTGAGGCGGCAGGCAGCGGGAGGGACACAAAGGATCCCAGTGAGCTGACGGAGGGGGTGGAGGATAAGGGTGTGGTTGCTCGGCCCAAGGGCAGAGCAGGATTTGGGCAGGAAGCTGTGGTCTGAGGGTCATGGTGATATCTAGTAGGGAGGGAGAGGTCATCAGGAGATCTGGCTTCCATCCCAGCCCCATGGCCTTGGGCCCAACACTGGGCCTCTCTGAGCTTCCATACTCTGCTGAGCACGAGAAACAGAATTCCTCCCTCACGGAGCTGGGAGATGACATAAAACACTGCGACTGCTTCTTATTAGCCGTCATCTCACGGGGATAAACCAGAAACGACCAGGGAAAACACTTTAAGGGCAGGGAGTGGAGGGACCCTCTCCGAGGCCGGCTTCAGCAAACAGCTGTGGCAGAGGGTTTTAGTAAAGGCCGGGGGAATGAGCAGATGTTAGGAGAGAGCCGGCAGCTGTTGTCCAGAGCTTAGCAAGTCCCCACACCCACCCCTGCCACCCCCGCCTGGGAGGTAACTGTGCAAAGACCATTGAGGGAGGGGCCAGCACTAAGGGACTGTGGTGGAAGGAAGATAGGCCAGAAGGCAAGGAGGTGGGGGGGCAACAGGCAGCTGAATAGGGGAGGTGGGTGAGTGGGGCTGGGGGGTATAGGGAGACTGGTGTCCTGGGAAAGATGAATGTGCAGAGAGGTTAAGCTAGTGCAGACCAGGGTTCATGAGCGCCTTTGACTCCCTGGGAGGCCCCTCCCAGGGCCTTCTGCCCCCTCACACTGTGGACCTGTGGCTCCCCAGAGGGACAAGCAGGGCTAGCCCTCCAGGCTGTTCCTGGGTCCTGTCCCTGCCGTCAAAGATGCAGAAGGCAGCTGTGTCTGCCTGGTAGGCTGGAAGGGCCCCCAGCTACAAGGACCCATGGGTGGCATCCACCCATCACGCAACCTGGCCTTTCTTCCCGTGCAGTGTAAGCTGGAGCAGCAGGCCTGCCTGAGCAGCAAGCAGCTGACCGTGAGATGCGAGGGCCCCTGCCCCTGCCCCACAGAGCAGACCTCCCCGTCCACCACCGATGGCAAGCCAGGTAATGTGGAGCGCTGGGTCACAGCCAGACGCGGCCAGGGGTGGGGGAATTCACTGCCGGCATCTCCCGTGATGCCCCCTTCGGGGCTCTGGGATGGTAAGAGCAGGAAGGGAGAAAGTGGCAATAACGGGCCTGAGGGAGCTGGGGGGCTGGGGGGCCGGGGGTTCAGGTGGAGGGAGCAGGCGCTGTGTGTTCTCAGTGCTAGGGGCTGAGTGGAGAGGAAGACGGGAGATGGGTTCTCACTCCCCTTCCCTCCTGACCACTGCCCGGCCTCTGGCCTGACGGGCAGCATCCCAGAGTGAGATTGTGCTGTGCCCCGCCCCACCTTCACCTTGCCCCTTTTCTCCCCCGTCCCACCGACGACAGAGACCTGCACAGGTCAAGACCTGGCTGACCTGGGGGACCGGCTACGGGACTGGTTCCAGCTCCTTCACGAGAACGCCAAGCAAAATGGCTCGGCCAGCAGCGGGACCAGCCTGGCCGGTAGTACCGAAGCTGCTTGCTGCACCTGGGGGGAGGGAGGGCAGTGGGAGGCAGGTGTGCCCTCGGCCAGCCTGCCTCGTGCCACCTCCTGCGAGACCCTGAGCCCCAAAAAGGGCCTAAACCCCAGAACAAGGGGAGGTGGGCTTCAGCTAGGCGGGAGGGGTTCAGGTTAGCGAACATGAAGAACTTCTTGAAGAGTGTGGAAGGACCTTAAACCCTGAAATGGGTAGCCGTGGCAAGGTGAGAAGTTCTCTTCCCTCAGGGGCTCTCCAAACAGGGTTTTGAATACCGTGGGTGCAGTCCTGTGTGGAGGCAGAGGGACCGACCTTCGGCCGTTCTTGAGTTTCTCACTCCCACGGTTACGTTCCGAGCTGCCCTGACCCTGACCCTGAATAGATGGAGAAGTGGAGGGATGGGCGCACAGATGCATGGAGCGGCTTACCTTGCACGTGACCTAACCGTGGCCTTCTCCCCAGGGCTGGACAAGAGCCTGGGGGCCAGCTGCAAGGACTCCATTGGCTGGATGTTCTCCAAGCTGGACACGAGTGCAGACCTCTTCCTGGACCAGACGGAACTGGCCGCCATCAACCTGGACAAGTACGAGGTCTGCATCCGCCCCTTCTTCAATTCCTGCGACACCTACAAGGACGGCCGTGTCTCCACTGCTGAGTGGTGCTTCTGCTTCTGGAGGGAGAGTGAGTGCGGCCCCTTGCTGGCCCCGCCCCCCCCCCCGCCCCCCTTCAGCTCCCCTGCCTCCTGCCCTCTCAGGTGCCACATCTGTCAGAGCCCGGGGAAACTAGAGCGTTAAATCCATTCCTTGTCAATCTCCTCAGTGATCCAGATTTTGTGAGTCCTGAAACATAATGCACTTTGGGAAAGTAAAAATTACAAGTGTAGAATTTCTAAGCGTCCCTCCCCCTGGCGGGGGGGTGGGGGGGGGGCTTGGAAGGAACCAGTGGGCCCTAAAGCTGAAGAAGACATATTGGCTTCTCAGTGGTTCCACTTCTGGGCGTGTCTCACATTATTTGCCCCCAGTCTGTGATTATGTAGGTGGCCATCAGCCTTAGACATAGGACATCATTTGCTAGCTTTATGTATCCTCAACCAGACATGTGCTTAGAGGTCACCGAGGCCAAGTGGCAATCATCACCAGTGGGGAAACTGAGGTTCCGAGGGGTGGGCTGACCTGCAGGCCCCCGGAGGTAGGGTAGGCCCTGGGGCTCTGCCTCTGGTCGTGTGGTGGGAGTGCAGGACTCAGGGCCCGGAGGCCGAGCCTTCTGCTAGGGCTCCACCATAGTCTGGTTTGGGACCCTGGGCAAGTCCCGAATCGTTCCGAGTTTGGTTTCTTCATCAGACCTGGGAGACTGTTGTGAGAGTGAACGGAGAAAATCTGGGTGCAGAGCACCGTGTAAATCACAAATCCACGTGCCAGAGTGAGGTGCCTCCATCACTGTTAGGGGCCCTCCTGCCCGGTCTTCCTGCCGTCTGCCTTGCACCAGCACGGTCTCCTTCCAGGCCTTGGAAGCTCACTCTGTCGGTTCTCTATAGCAGCCTCCTTGGGTAGGAGCCAGGCCTCTAGCTGGGAAGGGCTAGGGACTCTCAAGGTCACAGGCAAGTTAGATTTGGCTGCAGTTATTCTCAGGCTTCTGTCTGACCTTCCCTCTGCTCTTAGGTTTCCCCTTGGGCCTCTCCACCTGGGGAATCTGTGCATTCCACTCCTCTTCTGAATTCTGTACCCTCATCCCACGAGTTCCCAGCATCCTCAGAGAGCCCCACGGGGCACCGTGGCCCATGCCACAGCCATGGAATGGCCTCCCCTCATTGGAACCATGTTTTGTTTTGTTTTTAAATATATACCGAAGAGCCCCTTTGTCGGGTTTTCAGGACCTTAGAAGGATCAGTGCCTTCCACTACCACCATGGGGCTTCCCCAAATCAAAGCCTGGGTGTTTTCATCTTGCAGAGCCTCCTGCCTGGGCTTCTAAGCCTTGGGGGCCTCTCTGTGAGTCCCATGAGCACCGTGGGATGGCCCCCAGCAGAGGCTGCTTTTCTCCCCACAGAGCCTCCCTGCCTGGAGGAGCTCGAGCGCATCCAGATCCGGGAAGCGTCCAAGAAGAAGCCAGGTGAAGGGGTTGAGCTGAGCTCAGGGAGGGAGGCGGGGGATGGCTGCCCCAGGGACCCTCTGAGGCCCAGAGACACCAGCTCCTGGGCATTAGGGAAGACATTGAGCCCAGAAGAGGCCCTGGCCTAGGAAGGCCGGAAAGGGAACTCCCTGTCTGTTCTTACCTGACCAGCCCCCCAATAAGTGTGTTTTAAGCACTGGTTTTGTGCCCATACATTCTGGGGCTGCAGGATGGGATTCAGAAGGTTCAGTTCATTTCAGCGGGGGGATGGGCAAAACTTTGGTAGCAGGTGTTCATGTAGGCAGCAAATACTTAGGTGCCAGCCCAGAGAAACAGCAGTGGACCCAGCCCAGGTCAGAACTGATGGGCAAGACAGGCTTGGTCCCTGGCCTCCCAAAGCACACGGGCTACTTGGGAAAACAACACACAGTTGACACATAGAAAGAGAGAACTACAAGACCGTGGCATGTGTGTGTATGGAGAGCACAGTGGGTAGAAGTGAGCCTGGGCAGAGGCTCTGTGGGGAGCTGGTCTTCAAAGGCAGACCTGAGGGCTGAGAATGAGCCAGCCCTGGGTGGGGAAAAGCTCAGGGATCTTGGGAAACAGTAAGAAAGGGGTCCCCATGGCTAGATCATGGTGGCTGAGGGGACAGAGGGCCGAGGGGCAGATCCCTCAGGTCCCCTTAGTTAAGTGGGCCCATGGCCTCAGTGCACATGGGACCAAGTGCTGGAACCACCCCCACAAAGCCTTGTTGACCAAGAACCCAGTGGCCTTTGGGGACAGGTATCAGTGCTACTTCCGCCAGGAAGCCACACTCTTCCCTCCTGGCAGCACACCTCTCTGGTCTGTGTCCCCCGAGCATGCTCAGTGGGCCTCAGGGCATCCATCCTGTGGTGCCTGGAATTGGCATTTCTACGTGAGTCTCACCCACATCCCCAAAGAGGCAGAGCCTCGGTCTGGGTCGGTGCTCTCAGGGGAAGTCTGTCGAGTGGACAGAGAAGCCTCACTTCCAGGGCCGGAGGGAAAATGGGTGGGCCCTGAGGCTGAGAGGAGAAGCCTGGGAATTGCCGCAGAGTTCAACCAGGCTGGGGGGCGCCACTGTAGGATCTGGGGTGTTGAGCACGATGACATCAGGGAGGCGGATTTTCTCGGCCCCCATGAGTCGAGCTGGAAGTCTGGCCTTGTCGGCTGGCTGGTACCTGGGGGTGGCTGGGCTCTGCTGGGGTCCGGCCCCTTGCTGCTCATGCCCAAGGCTCCAGGGCCGCCTCTCCAAAGAGCTCGCGCCCCCAGGGCATCTGCTCTGACCCCGCTGGGCCCTGTCACACTCAGGAGTCTTCATCCCGAGCTGTGACGAGGACGGCTACTATGAGAAGATGCAGTGTGACCAGAGCAGCAGTGAATGCTGGTGCGCGGACCAGCTGGGCCAGGAGCTGCCGGGCACGCGCAGCCACGGCAGCCCCGCCTGCGGTAAGGGCCTGGCAGCCTGGGGCCCTCGGACCTGCCCCTGGGACGGCTTTTGGCGGGGGGGGGGGGGGGGGGGGGGGGGGGGGGGGGGGGGGGGGGGGGGAGGCTGTCAGCAGGGAGGAGGGGCAGCCAGCCAGGTCCTGACCTGCCCCCCGGCTCGTTCGCTTCGTAGACGAGATCCTGAGCTTCTCGGGGGACTTTGGGAGTGGCGTCGGCTGGGAGGACGAGGAGGAGAAGGAGACGGAGGAAGCCGGTGAGGAGGCTGAGGAGGAGGAGGGCGAGGCGGGCGAGGCGGACGACGGAGGCTACATCTGGTAGATGGCCCTCGGGGAGCCGTGGCAGGCCAGGGTGCCGACAGCCGGGGGAGACGGGCCAGCAGAGACCTGGACAGAAGCAGGCAGCTTACGAATGGATCCGGAAAATACATTTGGAAGGACCCTGGCTCCAACAGGGAGGACTGGGTGTGTGCGTGTGCATGGCACGTATGGCCAGGCCGTGTGAATGTGCGTGTGCGTGTGCGTGTGCGTGTGGCATGCGCTGACAAACGTGTCCTTGGTCCACACCGCTCCAAAGACCTCCTCGTAGTTGTTTTCTTTCCATTTATTGGTGGTTTTAAAATACACACATTCACACACATGTACCACAAGGTACATCACAAGCTGATGAAATGAGATGCTCCCTGCCGCGTCCCAAAGCCCCATTCAGGCTGCCCTGACACCCTTGGGTGGCCCTGCGTGGGATCCCTTGTCCCAGTGGCTAATCTTGGTTCAGCCAGCCCTGACCTTGCCTGCCCTCTCCCTGCCCGTGTTTTGGGTGTCCCCTTTGCAGAGGGGAGGGAGGGTGGGGAGCTGTCTGCTGTCTGAAGTCCTCCTAAAGCTGGGCCGGTTTGGCTGTGACACCCACCACCCTCAGATGACATGGGCTGGCACACCTACTGTGGTGAGCCCTTTCTCTTCACATGATTCCCAGTACTGAGGCAACTCTGCTCTCCTAATCCAAGCCAGAGTTACCGGGGGTGGCTGGGGCTGAGAGGCAGGGGGAGGAGAAGGCCTGGCCAAGCTGCTGGGGGTGAGGGGAGCAGAGTGAGGAGGAAGGAGAAGGGGCCCAGTGAGAGTCTGCCTTTGCAGATCTGGCAGGAGCTCTTAGAAGTGGAGGCAGGGTAGCCCTGAGAGCCAAACCCCGGAACAGCCGGGCCACTTCCTGTGGGTCTCAGGTGGGAGCCTGTTCTGGGCTGTTCCCCTGGAGGCAGTGGGCAGTGGCTATGCAGGTGGGCTCTGCCTGGCTTTGTGGGGGTTGCCGCCCTGCCCTTGGGCCCCTGGTCTGCTGCGGGAGCCTTCGGATCAGGCAGCAGGTGAAGAGGTTGTGTCTTGGGGGGGTGGTATGTGTGTGCACCCACCTCCCCTCTGGCCCGTTAATGAGTGCTCCTCTCTAATTAAGGCCAATGGAAAGGTTGTCCCTGAGGCCTGGAGAAGGAGAAGCAGGGAAAACTCCACTTGCCATGACCTTTCTCCATCTCTCCTTAAGTCAGAGGCACAGGGCCCATTTCCATCCCCTCTCCTCCCAGCACCAGGGGTTACCCTCCGACCTCTCTCAGAGGGCCCCCTGAGGCTGCTCTAGCGGAGGGGCTTCTCCAAACTCTGAAGTGGTCAGAGGTTGTGAAGTCAGAGGGGATAGGACTGGGGCAACCGGAATCCAAAGTCACGCCTCCCTGTTCCCCCAAACCTCCTTGCCGGGTGGGAGCCGGGACGGACAAATCCACGCCCCATGCATGGCGTGGCAAAACCATCTTTTGTTTCATTTTCCTGATCTGCCCCGTTCTCCTTGTTGAAGCAAATTCCTTAACATCTTTGTTGAAGAATTTCCAACCTGGACCTGGGCCTCTCATGCCCTTCTGTGTGGCGTGAGCACAGTGTGTGTGTGTGTGTGTGTGTGTGTGAATGCGTGCGAGAGTCTAAGGGCCGTCCCTGGGGGCCTGGGAGGGGAGGAGGGGTGCCTGTGTGCTGGGGGGGGGCAGCAGGGGTGGCATCCCTCAGGCACGGCTTCCCGGGCGAGCCTCCAGCCTGTGCCTGTCATTCTGCGGCATGCGCTGCGTCTGGTGGACCTTATGGAAGAGCCTCACCCAGTCTGCCCCTCTTGCCACACCCCGGGATCACCATCTTCCAAGTTTTCTCTTGGGGAGAATAGTGAAACTGCAGTTAGCCCCATGAACCGCTTCTCATTCCGCAGCACAACGACGCGATTCTGGTCGTGAAGGTGTCGCGCTGTTCCAGACACCCCTGCCCCCCTCGGCCCCAAGTCCCGTCTCCCCAGCCCCCTCCCTGTCCACCCACCTCCTTCCTCTGGCCCGGCTCAGTTCAGGGAACCACCCTCTGCTCTCAGAGCAGCCACCCCTATCTCAATGGGAGCTACTTGAAGCTTCCCCGAGCCCTCGAGCTCTCGCTAGGTATGGAGTCTGTCTGTCTCTTCCCTCTGCCCCAGCTGAGGCTTCCAGAACTGTCCCTGGGAGCCAGCGGCTGTTGAGGAGGCTGGGGCATTCCTGGGTGGGGAGGGGCACAGAGGAAGGGGCACCCTCCTCTGGCCATTACCCTCCCCTCCTGGGGGCACGTGCTCTCTCTGTGTCTCTGGGTCTTCTGGTTGTGCACGTTTCTTATGACCTTGTAAATATGTTGTAGAAAGAAAGCAAAAGGCGCTGAACTAGACCCTGGTGGGACTCATGGGTCCAGCCTTGCCCTGTCTCTGAAGCCCCCGCGCTGCTTGTCACCCCACTCTCTGAGACTGAGGCCCGCCACCAAAGCTAGACAAAGCAGCTTGTTCCCAGTGGGTCGACAGCCTCCAAGGGACTTCTTATCACACAAGCTGCAGGTCTGCTCGTGAGGAAGGTCGCAGGGTGGCCCTGCCTTGGCTCCTCGGATGCATGCCCTTGACCAAGCTGCCTACCACCAGCCCCTCCCATGTCCTTCTACTGGGATATCCTCTCTCCCCTGGGTTAGGCGGGCAGTGGCATCAGGGCTCTGTTGAAAAGAGCTCAACCAAAATTTAAGAGAAGTTTCTTGCCTGGCCCTGGAGCTGTCCTCGGCCACCCCAGGCCTCCTCACCCGTGGGTGCTGGGAGAGACAGGAGTGTCTAAGATGGGGTAGTCGGAGGTGGAGAGAACAAATGTGCCTTGAGAGACCACTCAGAGGGCTCAGGGTGATGGGGAAGGAGGCCTGGCGTTCGAGCTCAGGAAGGAGGAAGAGGAAGACGAGGTTGATGAGGGCACCACGGGGCACCATGACTGCCCCCTCTTGCCCTGCTGGTGCTGTCACCAACATGTGGTCAGTGGTCACACCTCCTTTCCCACACTGTCCCCTGGAGTCAGTGGCCACCCCCACGCCTTTCATGAGCTCTGTCTGCTTCCAGCTTCACCTCTTGAGTGGGTGGGGTCCATTGGGACCTACGTGGGAACCCTCCATTTCACCAAAGCCTCACCTCAGCCCTTGGGAAAGACGAGCGGCTAATGTCCTGGCGCCCAGCACCCTTGTGAGGCTGTGGGCTGGCAGGGGTCCTGGGGAAGAGACACTGGGGGCACAGAAGGAGACTGGAGACATCCCGAGGAAGTCCCAAGCAGAGCAAACTGCTTTAGAGCCTGAAGCCTACTTAAATTGTGTATGTGCAATAACTGAGCTTAGAGTTAAGACTTGTGTTCAAGTGCTTGGATCTCCGTCTGTATATTTAAGTGCTGAAATTGTATCTTTCAGTAATTTTAGATGTCCTAAAAAAAATCGAAAAACAAAGTGTTAGACCGTGTATGTGCATTGATGGGCACTCAAGCGTCCCGTGAGTTACCCCACCCTCTCCCTTTCCCCTGTGTCCCCAGCCCCTCACCCCCAGCACCCCCTCCACTTGGGGACCCCGCCTCGTGTTGTCTCTATCGGCCTATTACTCAGCCTAAGGAAACAAGTACACTCCATACATGCATAAAGGAAATCAAATGTTATTTTTAAGAAAACAGAAAATAAAAACTTTATAAACACCACCCACTGGCGATGTTGTGATTACTCTTCCTCTTGGCATCATTTTTCACAGCAATGACCTTCACAGATGTGGTCCCAGCCTGCAGACTCATGGTCAGCATGCTCCCTTATTCACCGCCATGTGTGAGACCCCCAGACAGCGAGGGCTGGGGGGCGGGGGGCACTGCTATGAGGGAACAACCGAGATCAACTTGGAAGCATTTTTGGTATTATTGCAAATATCCAACCAAGGATGTACAGCTCGTGAGGGGCGAAGCTTGGGTTCTGCTTGCTGTCTCCCGCAGATGCAAAGCAGGCTGCCACCGGCATCCTGTGACTGCTGCTCATGTGGCTCAAAGGCGCTCAGAGGAGAGACACCTGCGCAGGGTAAGTTCAGGAAGACTTCCTGGAGGAATCGGACTTCAGCCAGGCCCCCACATGGGTGGGAATGATCTAGTGACTTACTCCTGGCTGCACATTAGAATCATTTGGGGAAGTCTAGGCTCCCAGGCCCCACCTGCAAAGACTGATTCCGTTGTCCTGGGTTAGGGCGTCAGTGTATTTTGGAAGTCCCAGGTGGTGTTCATGTGCAGCCAGATGGCTAAGCAGACAGAAGCAAGTCCCTGGGGGTGAAGACAGGGTGTGCAGGAGGCCAGGATGGAAATAAGCCTATAAGGAGCCAGAACTGGGCCCCAGCTCTGAATGGGGGCAGGGGGAGGCCTATGGGCCAGTTCAAGGGCCGAAGGGCTCTGTTTTATTGTTTTATGCAACGTCTCCTCATCCCCAAGCCACACCTTGGTACCAAGTCCGTGAGGAACCTGAGCCTCCTGAGAGCGCCTGCGTCCATCCTGTGGGAAGCCTCCAGAGTGATTATCCTCATCCTTCAGGGCAATACTGGTGTCTGCACTCAATGATCACATTTATTCAGGCCGTGGGGCAATAGAGGTCAGGCAGGGCCCTAGCTTCTGACATCCATTGTCACCATGTCCCAGCAAACCGGGCTCTCAGGGCACGTGGCCCGGACAGTGCAGCTGGGGACAGGGACCGTGTATTTACTGCTCTCCGGTGCATAACTGGGGCCTGAGAACACATCTAAAAGAGAGACAAACCGCACACAAGCGCAAACAGGTACAAAGGGGCAGAAGCAGCCTCCCCACCTGTCTCCTGGGTCCTGAGTCAGCGACTAGTCTCACACCTTTGCGAGGGCACAGGGACCAAGAACAAATTAGCAAACAAACACAATTGAAAAAAACAATAACTTAAGAAAACAATTTTTTACAATTTATTTTCGAGCAAAACAGGTGAGGGAGAGGAGAAAAAAGCACAAACGTTTCTACGTTCTCATCAACATGCTTTTTCTGTCATGTCTAATCTTGCCCACAACCCCGAGAAGCAGATATTGTTACACACCCACCCCCATTTTATCCAGGAGACAACTACGCCTCCGGGGGTGTGACCCTGGTGCGTGGGCTGCAATGTTACCCCAGCCCTGGCTGACACCCCCTGCATCCCACTGTAACAAGCCGTGTCCTGGGAGAATACGGGTGGCAGCGGGGGTGTCGAGGAAGAAGTCCAGAAGTGAGGATGCTTGGATGTTGCCTGCCTCTGCCTCCCAGAACCTCCCCTCGAGCCTCAGTTTCCCCATCTGTAAGATGACGACCTCTCCCAGTCCTATGGTTCTGTGGACGAATGCAAAGGCATGAATCCAAAAATCAGTTTCTGTAAGGCTCAGGGTTTTCTTTCTCTTTCTCTGGAACATTCCATGGTTGCCGTAATTAACCCCAAGGACTCGCACATTTGCAAAGCAAAATTAACTGCGCTTTAAAAAGAACACTGGAGAAGGAATATAAGGAACAGTAGCCATCTTTTTAGGGCTCAAATGACTAAGTGCTTCTTTTGGTGATGTTTGAAGGTGCTTGATGTCCAGGCAGAGGGATGCTGTTTGGAATTTATGGGGGCTGTGGCCAGACTTTGGGACATGGCACTTCCTGTAGTTGGGGAAACAGGCTGGAAAAGGCGAGCACCATCTCTTTGGTCTGAGCACACTGCCATGTGGCCAAGTCAGGACTTGAACCCAGGCTGTCACCGCTGGCCACGCTCTAGGATGCCACCTGATATGACTCTTCGTGCTGCTTCTCTAGAAGGTGGGGCAGCCCCAAAGCCTCTCGCTGTGAGAAGACTGGCCTCTAGGGAAGGCTGGATTGACCTAAGGGGCCAGGCTCCTGCCCCTCCCCCCATTCCTTCCTGATTCCTGCCATGCAATGAGAGGTGGATACTTTCCTTCCAGACTTCCCCAAAATTTGCTTCCCTGGCCCTGTGGGGGAGGAGAGCCCTCCCTGCACCGAATCCTCTCAGACACATTTATAGTCAATGACAGACACCAGCGGAAACTCCACCCCAAGCCGGGCAGCCTTCTCTCCACCCTGGCCCTGGCTTCCCCACTGACCGTAACCCGTGCCAGGCAGCCAGCCCCAGGTGGCCCCTCCAACATTTACCTTGCCCTGGGGGCCAGCCCAGCACCTAGCAGCCAACACAGAGTATGTCTCCCCAAAGACCCTCAGAACTGGCCAGGAGGGGCCCACATCAGCTGGGCCAGCGCTGAGGGCTCCTGTCCACCCGCAGACCGGCTGAGGTCCTGCCCCTCAGCGGTGAGCAAGCACCCCAGATTTTTTTTTTTAATGTTTTATTTATTTCTAGGAGAGAGACAGCGTGAGCAGGGGAGGGTCAGAGAGAGAGGGAGTCACAGACCGAAACAGGCTCCAGGCTCAGAGCAAGCAGTCAGCACAAAGCCCGAAGCGAGGCAAGAACCCAAAAACCGAGAGATCATGACCTAAGCGAAAGTCGGACGATCAACCGACTAAGCCACCCAGGCGCCCCAGGAGGCACCCCAGAAAGGTGCTGGGCTCCTCCCTCACCCTCCCCTGCGCCTGACACCTTGCGGGGTCGGGACTCCACCTGACTGGGTCTCTTTGGTTCTGCTCTTGGGTTTGGATCTATTGTCTCCAGCCACCTGTCAGGCTCCAGAGCCTCCCTTGCTCGGGATTCAGGTGGCTGCGCTGAATTTGAGTTTCTCCAACTCAGAGACTCCTGCAGTCATCAGTCCCCGGGATGTCGGAGCTCCTCTGGTCCCCTCCTGCCCCAGAGCCTCACCATCCTTGACCCACGAGGATGGGAAGTTCCACAGTTATCACACCCTCCCGCCACTGTGTGTAAGGCTCTCTGTTTATCAGAACGTGGAGGGAGGGAGTGGGGAGGGATGGGAAAGAAGAAACAGAGAAATAAGATCAGCCTGCCTTGGGCCATCCCCGGGCCCCCCCCCCCCCCCCCCCCCACCAGCCGAGAAGGCAGCCTCGTACACAAGAGCACAGTCGGAATGTGATTCTTGCCATGCAGGGGAGTGCCCTCCGGGGTCGCAAACTCAGTGAGAGGGTGACAGGGTCTTGACGCCCCCAGGTCAAATGCCACCTTCTCTGGGCAGCTGTGTGGAGCAGAGTTAGCACAGCAGGCCAGAGAGGGCCATCCTTTGAAAGTCCTGCTCATGAGACTGGCCCTTGGCTGGGGTCTGGGAACTTGGATTTTGGGAGTGCTCCCACGATCCTCTGAGGAGGACTCACTGCCCCTAAATCATCACTGCAAGCAGCATGGCTTACGTGGAAGGCCTGCTCTCCGACAGGGAGTCTGGGATTTTGGTCCGTCTAGGCAGGGGGTACCTATGTGACCAGCCCCCGGGAAACACCCTGGGCCCTGGGTGTCTGGTGAGCTTCTCTAGCAGACGATGTTTCACGCACGCTGTCACGACATGACGCTGGAGCGTGTCCCATGTGACTCCTGTGTGACTCAGTGGGGTAAGGACTCTGCGAAGCTTTTGCTGGGTCTCCTGTAACCTTTGCGCTGCACCTGTGTCGCTCCGTACCTTTGCACTGTGACAGGTCGTGACGCTCTGTGGGCTCCTGTGAGTCCTCCTAGCAAATCACACTGGGAGTGGTCCTGGGGACCCCGACCCAGGGACTCCCTCGGGTCAGTTGGTGTCCTAGTTAATCTCTTCTTTCTCGCGATCCTGCAGAAGAGAGGGGTCCCTTGGATGCTGGGTGAAGAGTATTTGTAAATTGTGCATCAAGAACTCCTAGCCTGGGCTCCTGGGGATGGGGACACTGTTAATGGAGCTAGGAGGAGGGGGAGGGGGAGGAGGAGGAGCAAGCCTGGAGGGGAAAGGACAATGCAGATGGCTTCACTCCCCCAGGGCTTGCTTGGCCCCAGCCCCCGCCCAGCGGGCTGCACGCCCTGACTCTTTTTCAGTCTGGAGAGCCTGGAGGTCTCTGGGAGCTGCTGGTGTGCGTGTGTTTGGCGGGGAGAGGAGGTGTCATAAGGTGAGGAAGAGGCCTTCCTGCCTAGGCAACAGACCCCCAACCCCATGGATCCCTAGCAGCTCCTCAAGCACAGGCTGAGCGGAGCTGCTGGAGAACCCCACGCCCACTCGCCCCTTCTCTCCTAACAGAACCCTCCTTTCCTAGCCGGGCGCCCAGGGGCCGGACAAAGACCACACTTCCCGGCTGCCTGCAGCTCCGCCTGGTCAGAGTAAATCCTGGTAAGCCGCAGGATATGAAAAGAAGGGACAGGAGCCACATCCTGGCTGTGGCCTTTAAGAGAAAAGACCATGTCCGCCCTTCTCCTTCTTCATCTCCACGGGCTAGAACATGGACACGGCGGGTCCATCTTGTCCAGGCGGCAACCAGAAGGCAGGAGCTTGGTCCCCCCGCACCCCTGGACCCCCACTCCAGCCTGGGACTGCCTGGGCCTGACTGTTACGGAAAGAGACATAACTGTTTATTTTGTTTAAGCAGTGTTATTTTTGGTCTTAGAGACAAGAGCCATATCTACATCCTAATTTTGAGGGCTTCAAACTTTTTCTGCCTCGACCACAGAAAGAACATTTTAAAAAAATTTTTAAATGTTTATTTATTTTTGAGAGAGACAGAGTGTGCGTGGGGCAGGGGCAGAATCCGAAGCAGGCTCCTTCTGTCAG